ACCCCAACCCCAACCCACATACATACACACGCACCATGCGCGGACTTTAAATCTCCGCTTCCCCTCCTACACCCGCACTCCCCAGGCAGGTCTGTTCGAAGCACATACATACATACATATATACATACATAAACACATACACACAATGACGGGCATACGCATCGGCAATATGGGCCCCGTCCTCGCCACCGCCGCCATCACCGCTGCCGGCACGGCTGCCGTACCCCGCGTGACGGCCGGCGTCGCCGCCGCCGCAGCGGAGGCAGCAGCAGCAGCGGCGGCGGCGGCAGCGGCGGCGATCGCCTCCGTCAACGTGGGTCCCTTCCACCAGGGCAAGCGGGCGGCGGCCGGCTCGGCAAGGTTGTCGCCCGTCAGTGCGGAGACCGGAACGAAGGTGGCGGACGGACACTGCAAATCGAAACGAAGAGCCGAGCGGCGGCGGCGGAGGACGTCGGGTGCCGTACAGTGAGGCAGGTTTATTAGGGTTTTTTAGAGTTTTCTTTTCTTTCTGAGGGTTTGTTTATTTTTGAGAGATGATAGGGTACCTGAGGACACCATCCCGCCTAGTTCCGGAGCTGAAGCGTTTTTAAAAAGAAAAAAAGCGTTTTTGATTTATTAAAACTCTTCCCCTCATGCAGCTTCAGTAATATGTTTATCATGTACATCGAGGTGCCTTGACAAAACCACCCTAAACACACACAACCCCGGGCCCTATCTCCCCCCCCCCCTAAAACTCGCCTCCCCCCTTTTAAGAGAGGTCCGAGATGTAAATATTTGTGCTGTGGTGGAGTGCTGGCCAGCTAAAACACTATCAGGAGTTCTAATTTTTCGTTCCAAGGTAATCAAAATCCAATCAACCTTGAGAGCCTCAGACGTTTTAGGAAGCGGTTGATTTAAGGTGATGAGAGATGAAGAAAATGAAGACCGAGAATGCGGTTTTCGCACCGTATGCGTGTGTGCGCACATACATACACACATACATATACACGTACCTGGCGCTTCGTAAGTTTCCGTACAATTTCCACTGCGTCTTTGAAGCGTTGCTCGGCCAAGTCCGGGTCAGCCTCAACCGCCGCGTCAAGGTGGTTGATTGCAACTACCTTGGTTTTCCAGGAGATCGAACCGGGACGAATGACCGTTGGAAGTTGGTCAGGTTAATGACGGTTGTTAACGGGTAAACCTGCTTTGCAAGAGATTGGTTTGGGATTCGCGCAAACTTCTCTGCCCTAGGTGGGGTTGAGATAACGCACGTGTCTGTCTGTCTGTATATCTGTCTGTATGTATGTGTGTTTTGGACAGGATCAATGCACTCACGATACAAACCTCTTAGGAAAGAGGAGGCCATAAGGCCCAGGAGGTGCTTTCCCCCTCAATCCCTCAACACCATAAATGAAAATGAAAAGAAAAGGGGGTGAAAAGGAAACGGGGTTTGGGAGGTGGTGTGTGGGGTTCAAGTCAAGTGCGAAGCTGTGTAGAGCCAAGAAAATTTGAACGAAACGAGGGGTTTCGGAGCCAATGACATCCTCCAGCTCCTCTCATCACAGCGCTCCTCCCGCCAAGCACTTTGGAATTGTGTGCACCAGTGTTGCACCCACCATCAATCGCTGGTTGGCAAGTGTGGCGACCAGGGTGGCGATGTCACGAATCTCGGACCTGACGGCGGGGGACTCGAGAACCGCCGGACGACTGTCGACCACCAGTACGGCAATGTCCGCCTGTCGTACAGGTAGTACCGCGCATGGATGTTGTTGTCCTTGTGTAGTGTGTGTGAGTGTGTGTGCCTGTGTATGTGTGTCTGTGCGTGTGTGTCTGTGCGTATGCGTGTGTGTGTGTCTGTGCGTATGTATATCCGTGCGTATGTGTGCCCGTGCGTATGTGTGTCTGTGCGGGGAGGGATGTTGGCGGTCATGCAACATGCATACACATGCATGCGCATCATGTCCAGGGAAGGGGGTGGAGGGGGGAATGGAGGGGCGAAGTGGTTACCTGCATACACACACACACACACACAAAGATGCACACACATACCGGTACATTCATCTGACCATAACTACCACTACCATTCATCTGACCATGTAATGATCGCACACCGAAACACGCACACACCGAAACACACATACATACACTGAGTCGGGGTCAGGAGCACGCAAGGCTAACCGACTTGTGCTGTGTGCTCCCGACCCTTGCGCTGTGTTTCGGCTTCGGCCCCCGGCTCTCGCGGCCCACAGTGTAATCTAAGTCATACATACATGCATGCATACATACATGTATACATACATACACTCAACACATGCCTGCGTTATCCCTGCAATGGTACTCCTCAGGTAGTCCCGGTGACCGGGGGTATCGATCAGAGTCAGCACCACATCTGTATTCCCGCCATTCCCTCGAGGGGCCGCTCCAGGACTGCTGCTGGCGGTGGTTGTAGCGGTTGCGAAGATAGTTGAAGAAGGTAGTTGCACACGGTTGAGTTTCAGGTCCAGGGTCATAGACCGGTCTCGTTCCAAGCGGGAGCGATCCAGGACCTGACCCACAACAATAACAACAACAACGATGACGAACGACAGCAGCAGTAGCAGAAGCGGTAGCAGCAGAAGCAGTAGCAGCAGTAGCAGAAGCGGTAGCAGTAGCAGCAGAAGCGGTAGCAGTAAGAAGCAGAAGCGGGAGCAGTAGCAGCAGTGTTTCGCGTGTGGGGGGTGGATGTACGACCGCTCGGAGCCCAGAGTTCAGTTCCCCCCCACCCCTAATCCGCAGGGCCACGGGAAAAAGGGGAACTTCTTCCTTAAGTGGGAGCACATGTACCGTGCCGTGTCGTGGCGAGCGTACGGCATAGTACAGCCCGGGGACACCAGATGGCTACAGCTGAGGCATCTTCCTCTTGTTGTGCGAGCGTGGTGTTCCTCTTACCCATGCATACCGCGAAGTGGGGCGATTGCTGGTTTCTCTTTCAACCCGCATCAGAATCCGCTTCTCCAGTCCGCCAAATTTGACCAATATATGACCCGCTGCCGTGCTCTTCCCAGATTGATGATGACCCACGAAAACAACTGTGGCATGCGGTTGCGGGTCTGTAGAAGCCGGTGTCGGCGCTGTCATGGCGATGGGCTGACAACTCTTCGGCGCCTATCGACACTTGCTCACATGGATTGGCTCCCTAAACGCATCCGCATAGCATCGTTGGTAGGATTGCTTGCAGTAGGACGCGGGCGCCCAAATTTTTTAGACGATGCACGGCAATACGAATTTTCTCTGCTTGCTTGTCCGCATAAAATGCCGGCCATCGGCATAAACCTCCAAGTGTGCTCGCTGTAGCAACATTGTAATGCAGCACGTTCATTGAAAGGGTGGCGCGGAAACATAGCTTCGATCTAGGTGCTGCCGTTGGGCTTGAAGGTTGGCCTCCTCTTGAACATGGGCTCTCGAATCTACGTTGGCAACCTTCCTGCGGACATTGCAGAACGGGATGTGCGTGATGAGGTAAGTAGAGGCTTTGGCACGTTGCGATGCTGACATCCTGTTTGACCCCACTTGCCACCGGAACGGCGCAGTTTGAGCGATTTGGCCGTGTGAGGACAATATGGGTTGCCCGCAAACCGCCTGGTACGTTTGTGTCTAGGCTACGTGCTGTTAGCGGCACGGGAGCAGGCTAGCTTAGCGGCTTCATGCGGTTCCGCTGTTGCACTGCTATTGCGCCACATTTGCTGTGCTATCAACTGATTTTTCCAAGATTTCTATTTTGAGTTAGGTAGGTCCCCCCAAGCGGTTGTCTGACGCGTGGCGGCCGCCTTGGAATAACTCCCAGAAAAGATGCGGCAGTCAGTGCCTTACACCTGTTGTTGCCATTGTCGCTACGTCGTGTGAATGTGGCGGAGACGGACAGGGAGCCTCCACTGTGCTCTTTGCCAATGGGATATGAGGTCTCGTAGCCGTTAGTAAAACAGACGCCTGTTACCCTTCCATTTTAAGCAGGTTTCGCATTTTTGGAGATGGAGGACGACCGGGACGCATCTGACGCTGTTCGTAAGCTGGATGGTAAGCGTTCCGACGTTTACTGCATCGCAAGTCGCCGTCGCCTAATATCATTGCAGACGTGTACATACATACATAAGAAGGCTCTTCAGTTGGGTCATTCTTCTTCTTCTAGCCGTTTTTCCTCTAAGCATGTGCCTCTAACCTCCTCGCAGGCTTCCAGGGTTGGCGTGTGGAGTTCAGTCGGCGTGCCGACCGGGGGCCGCCGCCGCGCGGCGGCATGGGTGGCATGGGTGGCCCGATGGGTCGGGAGCTACGATGCTACGAATGTGGCGAGATTGGGCACATCGCTCGCGATTGCCGTAGTATGCGGGGCGGCGGCATGGGGGGAGGCCGCGGGGGCATGGCACCACCACGTGGTCGCAGCCGCAGTCGCAGGTGAGCTCAATAAATAATTGAAATCACCATTTCGCCATGTCTGTATCCGCAAGTCGCAACCTATAACCTCTCCTAACGCAATATTTATCGCGGGTTTGTTTTTATGAACTGCAGTCCCGTGCGGCGCAGCCGGAGCCCCTCGTACGACCGCAGGCGCTCGCCCAGGTACGAGACTCGGCTCCGTGTTCACGCGAATGTACTGCTGTCCGTATCAACCACAAAGTTGCCTAATTGGTTTGTAGCACTAAGTCAATTTACGCGCTCCTCCGCTTTGACTCGGTGTGCAGCCCGCCAAGGCGCCGGGACGAGGGCCGTGAGCGCGACCGAAGCCGGAGCCGCAGCCGGGATTGAAGACTGTCGACGACGGAGATGGCCGTGTGGATTAAAGTTCGGGCTTTTCCTAGGCTCTGTAGCAAGGCGAACTCCACAGCTTGGGCTTCCGTCCTGCAGTTTGAGAGTTTGTGTTTCGGGCATGCATAATATGCAAACGCGGCTGTTTGTGGGTGGCGACGGGCATGGGGGGGGTGCTATTGGCATGGCCTGCGTTTCCCGAACTGGGTTCAGGTATGGTCCAAGCAAGGGAATATGCCCTTTCGTGTGAATGGACGTGCATGACGACGGAGTATGGGACGTAATCGGATTGACGCGCGGATGGATTTTCGTGGTATGAATATAGTATGAATACGCGTATTGATTTGAGTTTTTTGTGTTGTTGGACATGTTTGGCTGCGAATGTGGTTACTATTTGGTTACGGTTTGAAGGGGTTTTGCATGTGCGGTGGCGGAGGGCGTTCCTGTGCACATATTTTGGATGCAACTGAGCAGTGCACGTTGCGGCCCCTTCCCTCCACAGGGGGTGCCGTCTGATGCATCGATGCGCCTCTCTCCGCTTCGCTTCGCGTCGCTTCACTTCACTCCTGTCTGCACGCCTGCTGCGTCTGCGCCTTTGGCTTCCCTGTGGATTGCTGATGGGTGGTCTTCTGTGGAAAAATTCAACTACCAACTGCTGCATCTGCTTCTGCTGCGACCGTGGGCTGCTGTCGACGTGCACGCGACCCTGCCGAACGCCCTCCCTGCACGTCAAAACTGTCTGCTTTGGACGTTTCTGCGCCCGTCGGGTCGGCTCTTGACGAAACTCACTACTGTGGATGGTCGTCGATTTTGGTGCGTGTAGTTTGTTCGTATGCCATCCGAGCTCCCCCTGTCCTTAAAGGTTACCAGACTACACAGGTGAGAAATTGCAGGATCGACTTGGACTTCGAAGCCATGGGAGCTGCCTGGCCTTTGGTGCTGCCCCCTGATTGTATAGGCACCCGTACGTCTTAGTGGTGCACATGTTTAATGGTTGCATGTTTGTAACAAGTTACAAAAATGATCCACTTTGTCCGTCCGTTCCGTGTTGAGGAGCTTCGTCACATCAGACTGCGCATTTTTATCTGGCAGTACCAAGTGGTTGCAGAAATGACGTAGAAGTAGCAAAGCAACGAATTCAGACGTTGTCCAGATGCAAAGTTGTACTTCACAGCTTCAAAGGAAGTTCAAATGTCAACAGTCAAGTACAGCGCGGGCAGAAGTAGATTGATCATATGACACTTACCGTTGCCTTCCCAAAATAAACGTGAAAGCTGTCAGCATTTATTTTAACATCTGACTAACTGCGCGAACATTCGTGTTTTCCGTGCTTCATGGTCAACTGTTTCTGCAGAGTCATTTCGTGGACTCAAATAACTTACGTGTCGTGAATTATAAACTTCTCATAATTGCTTTATGCTTAAAAAATGGAGCGTGGACGCCAGTCACGGAGCGTTTCCAGGCAAGGGACAATCCTGCGCACCCGGATCGACCACTTCTGTAGGAAGTTTGCAAAGTCATAGCTACTAAATCAACATGCAGGTCACGTAGTCGTCGCGATGATCGACGTCGTGAGTCCCTGCATAGTTCCCATGAGTCCTTGGCCGGTAACCTAAGCCCTGGACGCAGTCACGGCCATCGGCGCGAGGGTTTCTTCAAGAGTCTTTTTGGGAGGCGCGATAAACACCATGAAGTGCAAACCCAGCAGCAGTATCAGCAGGTTCCAGGGGACATCAGCCCGCAACCTCGACCTCCACCACCGACGTCGTCATCCCCCGGCTCTAAGTTGAAGTCGTTCTTCAGTGGAGGTTCTCCGCAAGGCAGGACATCTCAAAATATCAGCCCTGCAGCAGCCCGCGGCGCAGCAGAGGAGCTGCAGGTGAAGGAACTGCAACACCGTGTGCAGCTTCTCACTGCGCAGGTGGAGGGCTACGAGAAGGTCAAACAACAGCTTCAGGCGGAGCAGCGCGCCGCTCAGGACTGGAAAGAGAAGTGGAACTACCAAAACTTTAAGCTCAACGTCATGGTGGACATGCTAGTCCTGCGAGTTCTAGAACTGGAGCAGCCAAGTGTGTCGCAGCTGTGATGACGGTCACACCACGAATGGATTAACTAATGAGCCACGTTCTATAGCCCTGCTGCGTAATCCTGCTGCACCTCTTGTGCTGATACCAAAGATGGGCGTCACCAGGAAATGCGAGTGCTTGCCGGAGCGGACCTGGAGTCGTACACAGGTGATGGAAAAAGGGGTTGCTATGATTGGCTCTAGGGATATGTGCAGGAGGCAGTACAAGGGCCGGAGAAGTGGACGCAGACGCAAATATCCAGATGCGAGACATGGCTGGCGGCATAGCACGTGTATAAAGTACGGTGCCTGCCTGTACCCCCTCGCCTCCGGGGTTTCCTGCAAGCATTGCAGTGCAATGGGTTCGGAAGGGCCGGGACGGCTGAGAAAATTGAGAGTTCTTGGCAATTCACTAGCTACGGCGACTCGCGAGCGATGGCTCCCGGATTGGAGCGTTATGAGTTACATACATGGAGGTTTATGATATGGCTGGGGAACAACAGACCGTATGACGTCAGCAGGGGCATTGGGAAAGAGCGTGTACACCACGGATAGTACACCCCAACGGATGGGTCATAGGTGTGCTGGCACACAGGGCTTGTGGGGTGGCAGTACTGTTAAGACGGTGGTGTGTGGGACGAGTGCCGACCCGGATATACCCATTTTGATGTACATGTGAATCTATTGCATTCCTATCTATTGCACTGCGGACGTGGCATTTGTTGTGTGTCACGACCATTGTGTCATGGCCATGCATCGATATCAGCACGGAGATGATGAAAATATTCAACATCGGAAAGCGCGCCCTGCTTTTGGCGCATTGCGTGTCGGTGCTGCTGGTGTTGGCTTTGGGTGGTCTCAATTTGCAAGAGGAAGGGGGGTGCAAGTAAGTGTGTGCAAGAGGGCTTGGACCACAGACCACCGGTCCAGATACAGGTTGAGACGACGAAGACGCAGATGACGAAGGTGGGGGGGAGGAGGTCCCTGCGGCCCATGTTGCAAGCGGTCTCTATTCCTCTTCTTCTGTGTGTCTCTTCCAGCTGCTCTCGTCAATGTCGTTCCATCTTATCTGGGTGATCTAGTGAAAAAAACTGCTATGGGCAATCATCCTGTTCTTTCCTGCGCTGTCCGGCCCCTTCCTGCCCAGCGCTGAACCTGCCAAGGCGGTGTGCCGAGGTGCATGTGGTGGTGCCGGGGGTGCATACCGGTGTAACCTACCTCTCGTCTATGTTATGGTATGTGGTGGCGGGGTAGGCAGGCATTCACTGTCTGCCAGACGGGCAGATTCCCGGCAGATGCGCGCGGGTGATCACGTGTCTTTTTTGCGTCTTGCCTCGTTTTGTTGGAACTGACTTCCTCGAGGAGTATGTATGTATGTATATATGTATGTATACGTGTGTGCGTGTGTATTATTCATTTCGGGCACGCGTGTGGGGCCCCTCCCTATCTCACTGTGTGTTCTGGTGCATGCGTATGGAAGTTCATGACGGTTACGCGGCGCTAGCTGTGCAAGGGTGTCGATTGTAGCGGATGCGTGCGATTAGGGTTGTACGCTGTGGCAAGTTGTGCGGTTACCCCGTTTGGCGCCATCTGCGGAGGAGAACACTCTGGTAGTAGTGGACTTCCGGCGTTATCAGGACGGCAATATGTGGATGAATCCCCGGATCGGATGTGATGATGGCTATGGAAGGGTGAATAATGTGCGACCTGTGTGAGTGTCGCATTCGTGGCGCCGCCGCCTGGGAAGGAGGGAGTCTCTCACCAACGTAGGAAGGGCGATAATACTACAAGCGGGGGGGGGAACCCACAACCAACTGTCCGTCACATAGCCACTTATAATGATTGTAGTGACTATCCTTTGCTATGAAGCTGATGTCAGCCACCACCATGGTTCTCATCATCTCAACCTGGCCCCATCAAGAGCGACGATTTCGGAAATTGCTAGAAAAAACCGAATGAACGAAAAGCCTGCAACTATGAGTTCGGAACGAAGGGGTAACACCTATGTATACATAGCCCGGTACATGCTGCTGAGGGAGAAGTTCCCAATCCATGTGCCGCCACCACATGCGTACCACTTCTGAAGTCGGATGGGGTGACGGATTAGGGTGCCCCTCTAGCAGGGGAGAGCAGGGACTGCCCCGGGAAAGGGGGCCGCAGGCGAAGCTTAACCACCCTGTAACGACATACATACCGCACGCATGCAGCCACCAGACGCAAGTGCACGCCGAATGGCACATGGCCCGCTGCCGCTGCTGCACCTGCTGCAGCTGCTTCTTCCTTTCCAATCTGCGCTATCTGTCCCATCTGTCCGTGGTGCCTTTTACTGCACCACAGAGGCTCTCGTCACAGCGGCTGCCTCCTCTCATCCCGCTGCCACATCCTGACTCCTCAACCGCCAACGAACGGCGCAACGAAAAAAAGCCATGATGGCACAAAATCAAATCAAATCAAAACAAGATATTGTCTGCGTATCCATGCCTCGCCTCAGTAGCTGTGAAGAAGATCCAACCATACATACATACATCACCAGCTACCCGTCACCCCCACGCTCCTCACGCCAGTCCACCGGGCGCCTTCACGTTCCAGCCATGCCGTACGGAACTTCCGAAAGTCCGAAAGAACCGCCTCCGCATCCCACAATGCTCCCATACCCGCCCCCTCCCCCACACCCACCCGCACCTGCAACCCCATTTTTAACCCCAATTCAGCCCCAGGGCTATCGTCCCTGCAGCCGCCGTCGCCGCCGCCACTGCGACCACAGCACCTTCCAGACTCTTCCTCCCCATTCCCCCAATCGTCCCTTTCCGCGTCCTCCTTCGTGCGATGAAACCCCTCCGTCGGTGCCGCCGCCGCCGCCGCCGCCGCCGCCTTCTTCACCCACACTCGTTCCAGAAAGTGCAGGTCATCATCGCTGTCGAGTAACATTTGCAAACTGATTGTAACGGGGGTTTGCGGCGGCGGCTGCGGTTGCGGGCCCGCAGTGGTTGCTATGACGACGAAGTTGCCATTGCTGTTGTTGTTCTTATGATTGATGTCCTTGCTGTTGACAGTGGTGTGACTACTGTCCATGCCACTTCCGCTGCTACTGCTGCTACTGCTACTGCTGCTACTGCTGTTACTGCTGTTACTGCTACTGCTGCCAATTGTGAGACCCAGGCGCTCCGTGGTGTACGCGAACCTGGGCCCTATCTGCAGCAGCAAGTTCTTGGACAGAAATGGCGGGTACTCCAGAAGCTGTGTTGGGTATTGTGGCGGCAGTGGTATTGGTAATGGTGGTTGATTGGCGGTTGGGATGATGATGATGATCCCGATCGGGAGTTTTGCGGAGGCCAACAATGTTGAGGGGGCCGCGGGGAAGCGGGACGTGTGTGCGCTCGCGAGGTCTCAAGTGACAGAGAGAAAGGAGAGAGAGAGAGAGAGAGAGAGAGGATCCCCGCAGCAACATGGACGGGACGGGGGGGGGGGTATTCGACAGAGGGCTGCTGAGGCGCCATTCAGTGCATTTGGCTGGTGTAAGTGTGGCTGTGAGGGAGAGAGAGAAAGAGAGTGTGTGAGCGAATGTGACTGCAAGTGTGTGAGGACTGGGGTGGCTTTAGGCAGCAAGGTAAGAAACAAAAGCATACACATATACATACGCACATACACGTGTGGCTGTCCCCCTCCACAAATTCCCCTGGCGCCTTCACCCCTCTCCCTCAGAGGGTTCTTCACCAGGGTACCCAAAAATTTCGGTCGTGCCAGAAATCCTCTGAATAACCTTTCGTGGCCCTCCATCCCTATCCCCCTCCTTCCCCCCACATCACCTGCTCTCGTCCGCCCGCCATTTTCTCCGTCAGGAAGCGCCACTTGCGGCTCAGATTGGCGGTGGTGAATGAGAGCATTTCGGGGCATCCCTGGAGCACCAGCGCCGCCTGGCCCGCACTGAATCCGCAGTGGGAGGTTAGGAAAGACAGACGCAGGTGCACCTCGGACGGCAAATCCCCTGTGGAGATGGTTGAGGTGTGAGTGTGTGGGCGTGATGGGGAGTAATGATGATGATGATGATGGTGGAGATGATCACCACCGAGACCTAGTCGACCTTCGCCACCACGAGCTCTACGCTTTTTTCTACCGGTTATAGACATCATCCCCCCTCTCTTCCCCCCTCCCCTCTCCCCCTCGATTACCCCTCAAAACCCACTTACGGGTCAGCAGAGCTCCGTTCCGTAACAGCAACCTCCTCGCCACACCCCTCTCCAATCCAGCACTGCACAACAGCTCCAGGCAGGGTGCCAGATCTCTGACGGGATCCAGGGATAGCACCCGAGGACACCGACACAAGAAATCCCGTACATCCTCCTGTCGTACAGACACCGTACAGTATCGTACAAACCAAGCGTCAACATTACATACTTGATCTGAGGGTTAAAAAGTAAATTTACGTGTGTGCGCTGTGTCAGAGATTCATCGGTTGCGCAGAATGTAGCGGTTCGAGTACGGCAGCGTACGGCTGCGGGTGAGTTGGGGAGTTTGGGAAGAAAGGAAGAAAAACAGGCGTAGTAGTCGCAACACCGATTGATTTGTGACTCGTGTTTCGGCAAAGCATATAGGCCTCCATGCCATGTCATTGTGTTTAAGCGCAACAAAGCTAAATGTGCCATGCCTTTTCTCCGACATTTTTTTACATTTTTCCTGTCCTTGACTTCATCCCCGACGTACCTGTCCTAATCCCAGCCCTTGTCGTAAAAACTCAACGGCGGGCTCTAAGCCGGTGTGTACGTCACTGAGCAGCACTCCGGGGTTTCTTAGGATGACGGAAGACACCACGTCGCGAGGAGTCAAACCCAAGCTCTGGCAGCAGGAAATGGGGGGGAGGAGGAACGGGGGAGGAGGAGAATGGGGGAGGTGGAGAAGGCGGAGAATGGGGAAGCGGAGGACGAGGAGGCAGCGCGGGGCTATGGAAGGGGGACTTGCACAAGTGCGAGATTGGGTTCAAAAAGGGGGCCCCTGCCAGGAAGAAGAACATGGGCCGAGAGGAAACCTAAGGGCTTCCGTACCGTGCCATATTGTGCCGTACCTGCAGATACGCGATGGCGTTTCCCGCTTTGAAGAGGCTGCCAAGGGTGAACAGCTCGGGGAATGCCCCGAGGAGAGCGAAGAAGTCCTGTCGTGACATGCCATATGCCGTCAAGACTGCAAGGAGGGCGTTGCCGAGGAGAGAGGGAGGTGTTCATCTCGTCCGTGTCCAGAGCCTTCGCTTTCTCTAACCTGCCTTTCCTTCCGCCTAGGGACGTGGATGGCTTCAGGGAGGGGCACTGCGTAACTACCGCGATACTGTGTCGTATAATTCTTGGTGACACGCGACCAGCCTTCCCGCCATGGAAAGTAGACCACTACCAGGGCCCCTAGGTGGTAGAGTGTGCTAAATCCAAATTTGTTGATAATTAGGGTTGAAGCAGCTTGAGACTCACAGTCGAGCCACACGCCGAGGGGCACGCAAAGCAGCTGCGGATTGCTGAGCAGCAATGTTTTGAGGCGCTGTCTACTTGTGAGCGACGTTAAAGTAGCCAGCGCAGGCTCTGCGTTCCTGCTCAGACCGTTAATATCTCCAACACTGCGAAAGGTTTCAGCTGGTATGCCCAAGTCCTCCAGGTGCTCTCGAACACTTGCCGGCATTTGGAAGGGGGACGTCGATCGACAGACCAGGCGCAGACTGCCAGGTGGGTTTGCTACGGCTGGAATATTACATAGCCAACATGCATTCTGCGTTGAGGCTTTTCTCCATTGGAGCGGCCGGAGCCGGCTATGCCTGGATAGCGTTTGCGCGTGCATTAGCAACCCTAACTGGTAATCTGATCTTCACCGGCCTTCAACAACACGGCTGGCAAACCAAGTTTATAGATATCAAAACGCAAGAGTGCATTTTGTGGGAATACCTTAGTAAATTACAACTGATGCCCCTGCTGACTTCAATTCCATTTCCCAGCCTACGAAGATAGATGAGATATCGTCTGGCAACATTTCAATTTGCATAAGCAAAACATATTCCTTGCGGCTTACATGCTGAAAAATGCAAATGAAGGAATTAGTCGGTTGTTGCCGTTGCTTGTGCCACGGCTTGCGGCAGAGGAACGTCTGATGGCCAAGCCATGCGGAGAATGGATTAGTAAGGAGCTGCGAACATCAGTCCATTCGGTAATGTCATGTCGAACTACACAACTACTGCAGGGACGGAATTCCTGGAGATTCTGAACTAGAAGGGGCATTGGAAGCACACCTGCTGAATTTAATTGTAAATAGATTGTAACACATGGCGTGTGTAAACGTGAGAGTGCGGCAAAGCTGGAGCAGGGTGCTGCTGAGATCGCTTGCAGCAGTTAGTAGGTAGATCGAAAGGCACGACACTTTGCCTTATTGTTGCCGTGGTAATTTACCATTCACGTCGACGCTGCCTGCCGTACTCACGGCGCTGGGAATGGAGAGCCCTCAGAGAGGGGACACAGATGAGAAGGAAAAGAAGACAATCATGGAGGGAGTGGAAAGGTTGTGAGGGCAGACGGTTTGCATTGGCCCCTGACAATATGCAAGGATAATACTTGCATTGCTCCTATGTACCTTACAATAAAATACCTCATAAATGTAAGATTTTGTGGCATTTCGTGATATGTTGCCTGTTTTCTTAACTTGCTTGCCAAAATGACGAGGATGGGATTTGAACCCACGCCCTTACGGACTAGAGGTTTTCTTCCAGATATATCTTCTGGTAGACCTAAATCTAGCGCCTTAGACCACTCGGCCACCTCGTCAAGACATGCAAAATCGGACAATGTGATAGTATATATCGGCGTTTTTAAGAGTGATGGTGACTGCTGCGCTACATGGTGTATGCAATCCAAATTGAATTTAAAAACAGATACTAGTGATATGTGTGTGTGTGTTACATGGTCGTGGGGTGCGTTCCCCGTACCTGCCAACTGCCCTAATACGAGCCGAGGGCTCAAGGGCTGCCAGATCGCCCCATCCTACCTCGCACTTCAAACAAAGCAAGTGACAAAAGATACTAACGGAGGGAACGATAGAGTTGCGGTGGGACCATATATGTTCCAGAATCCTTGTCAGGCGTTCAGGTTCCCAGTTCATAGCGTCCTTCATATGCTCGAAGCGTGGGAAGTCCATATCAGATCTAATTTTGTCGTACACCGGACAGTCCAGCAAAATGTGCTTCTCATCCTCGATATGTCTATCAGTGCCGCAGCAGGGGCATACTCGCTCCTCCCTAGGTATATAACGCCGTCCCTTACGCGCTCTGTTAGCCGCCAATGCCCAACAGCAAAGCCTAAACTGGATAAGCTTGCGATTCGCTGAATGCGGGATAAACATTGTGATATGCGGGAGCACCTCCTTCCTGCCCGCTTGTTCGGCCGCCAGACCCATCCAATGCCTATCCTTCGCCATGTGAATTCCTGGTTGCTTGCCCAGCTCTGGCTGGACATCTAGACGCGTATGCTTCCAACCACTCACCAATCGGTCCTTGAACTCCAATACCACACCGTCTGGCAATGGCCTGTTCATTAGCCATTCCCCTCGTTCGTCTACTTCGTGTAGCCCTTGCGGGGCCTCTTTCCATATCGTCGTGCCCCAGAAAACTTAGAAAACGGAGGATTAGGGGCCCCCATCCGGCCCCTTCGGGGTTGAAGAGGGACTCTGCGACCTCCTGTCGCAAAACTTGGTTTGCCACAGACCCACGCTGTAAACGGACACGGTTCCAAAACCACACAATCTGTTTAAAAACGTTGTAGTGTAGGGGTCACTGCGACAATTCGGCGAACAGGAGGCGATGTGTTGGTCTGGCAGCTCCCACAATTTGTCGCATGAACGATATCTGAAGCTGCACCGCTCGGTCCTTTAGGCATGCCTCGAAGGGCCCCTCCGCAAGGTTACTCTCATCACTTTGCCTCCTATGCCTGTCCAAGACCTCTGCCAGCATAAACGGCCTCCCCCCCGCTTGACAACCGTACAACAGTATTGCTCTTGCCTGCGTATCGAAACACCTCATCCTAACGTCTGGGGCAAACAACTTTAGCTTATCCAATTTTGTGCTCAACGCGAACATAGCTGCTCTAGCTGTGTCGTACATCTGCTGACGGCAGGCCCAAAACGGCCGTTCCGGCCCATACACTAACCCCGGATATCAGGCAGGATAGTGCCAGCCAACCTAAGTTCATCCATCTAGATGTAGTTGCGCTTGCACTATTCGTGTACATGCGTTGACGAGGTGGCCGAGTGGTCTAAGGCGCTAGATTTAGGTCTACCAGATAAAATATCTGGAAGAAAATCTCTAGTCCGTAAGGGCGTGGGTTCAAATCCCATCCTCGTCATATTGGATCGCAAGTCAAGAAAGCAGTCAACATATCACGAGATGTGACTCTTACATTTATGAGCCATCGTACATAGGAGGAATGCAAGTATCATTCTTGCATATTGTGAGGGGCCAATGAAAACCGTCTGCCCTCACAACCTTTCTACACCCTCCATGATTGTCTTCTTTTCCTTCTCATCTGTGTCCCTTCACTGAGGGCTCTCCATCCCCCATCGGGACCAGCGCCGTGAGTACGGCAGGCAGCGTCGATGGAGATGGCGGCAAAGGTATCCCTACCCATACCATGACAAGGGTGGGGTCCCCATGCCGCTTGCCCCCTACAACCGCCACCATACCACCTTTACCACCACTACGCATTTAATTACCTACCCAGCATCCCCAGTAGTCAGATGCCATGGTCCGATACCACGGGCGCACTGCCGTACAGCAGCACCTCTGGCGAGTACATGTCATGTTGACTTAGGGTTTCGTTATTCCCAGCCAGCAAGCTCTCGCGCAGGATGATGTCCACCACCAAGTGCTACATGTTACAATGTTACAATGTTACAATGTTACAATGTTACAATGTTACAATGTTATAAGTTCCGCTCTATCGTTCCCTTTGGTCGTTAGTATCCTTCATCACTTGTTTCGTTGGAAGTGCGAGGTAGGATGGTGCTTATAGGCGGTCTGGCAGCCCTTGAGCCCTCGGCTCGTATTAGGGTGGTTTGCAGGTACGGGGAACGCACCCACGACCATGTAACAACAACAACAACAACATCAGGCCCCGCCGCAGCTGCAGGCCCCGCCGCAGCTGCAGGCCCCGCCGCAGCTGCAGGCCCCGCCGCAGCTGCAGGCCCCGCTGCAGCTGCAGGCCCCGCTGCAGCTGCAGGCCCCGCCGCAGCTGCAGGCCCCGCCCCAGCTGCAGGCCCCGCCCCCACCACCACCCTTGCCGCTGCAGCCGCCACCAGTGGCCCCGCAACAGCCAGGCCCCACGGCGGCGGCAGCAGCTCTACAAGGGCTAGGGGCACAGGCCGGCCCCACGGTGGTGGAAGAGGAAACCACAACCCACAGGGAGCGCGACACCACACTGGCGGCACCACGGGAGCAAGAGCCACCAGCAGCCATAGCCAATACAGTCCCCACCTTCCAGTTCACAGCAGGTAGGAAGGAGCCAGGTGGCAGGCAACGGGCAACCGGGGGCAAAGCTAGGCAGCAGATGTGCCCTGAGACGAACCAGGCCCCTACACCCTCTGAGGCCCCAAAGAGGAAGCGGCAGCGGCTGGAGCACCTTACTGCGGAAGAACGGGCAGAGCGAAACAAAGCCCAGACCCGCAAGGCCTTGGAGGCCCGAAAGAAAAATGTGGAGATACGGAGGGCACAGAGGGCAGCAGAGGAAGCCGG